TGGTATGGTAGAGCGATTCAACCGGACCCTGGAAGAGCATTTGCGGAAAGTAGTGGACAAGAATCAAGATGATTGGAATGTGCATATACCGCTTTTCCTCATGGGGTATCGGTCCGCCGTGCATGTAACTACAGGGCAAACACCCGCGAGGATACTGTTTGGTAGTGAACTACGGTTGCCCAGCGATAAAAAATTTGGAATAACTGGCGATGTGAGAAGAGTTGGGAAGGTAACGTCTACCGATCTCGAGGAAGAGCTAAGAGAGGTACATGCTCTTGTGAGACCGCGAACTCAAATTATGAGTGACAAAATGAAGGCCAGGTATGACAAGGCGATGAGCTCCGGGGGTTTCTAAAATGGAGATTTAGTGTTGCTGTACAATCCACAACGGAAGAGGGGTTTGTCCCCAAAACTTCAATGTAATTGGGAAGGTCAAACAGTAATCAAACGACTAAGCGACGGAGTGGAAGTCCAAGAAACAAGATGAAAGTGGTCCACCTTGAGAGGCTTGCTGAGTTTGGAACAGCGAAATTGGGACGATCAGACTAAGGAGACGGGTAGTGCAGAGGAGACGAAAGCGAAGAGGAATATTATAGTGATTTTCTGTAAACAGACGACGAAGATCAGGAATACACAAAAACAATTTGCAGAAGCTGCCTATATTTCAATGATATTTCACATTTTTGTTTTTTTTACGTAGGACCAACGTTATATGCTTCATCACGATCAACCGACATGTTGCAGACATTTCTACTTTATTTACTACTCATTATTGTGGAAATGACAAACCTATACGGCTTCAAAAAACTAGGAGATGAGTTGAAAAATGTCACAAAACCAGAAATGCGAGCGTACTATGGGTTGCTAAGTTTAGCTGGAGTTTACTGATGGCATGGGGAAGATATGACTGAGTTGTGGAATGATAACGTTGGGCGAGCAATATTTATAGCAACGATGTAACTAAAAAGATACAAAGAAATTACCAGATTCCTGCGGTTTGACGACCGTGAAAAAAGAAGAAATCTGCGTCAACGCGACAAATTAGCAGCCGTTCGCGTTATCTTCGACAAATGGGTGCATCGCTTTAAAACGTTGTACACCTGGACCAAGGTTGACGGTAGATGAGCAATTATTGCCTTATCGTGTTCGGTGCCCATTTGCTCAATTTATACCATCGAAACCACACAAATATGGCAACAAACATTGGGTATGCTGAGTTGCAGATACTTTCTATGTTTACGATGTTGATGTATATGTGTGCAACAGATATTGTGCCGCAGAAGTAAATCAAGGTGAGAGAGTGGAGAAAATGGAAGAAATGTCACATGCGACGATTTCTTTACATCATATGGCTTGGCAAAAAAACTAAAAGAGCGGTAGATGATGTTGGTAGGCACAATTAGAAAAAACTGGAAAGAACTGCCTCCATTGATCATCGATATGCAGAAAAAGCCGTTTTATCCCTCAGAATTTGTGTTTGAGCCAACATTGGGAGCCACACTAGTGTCATAGGTAACGAAGTGTAAGCGATTTGTAACTCTACAAGAAGAAACATATTGACCAACACGAAAATAAAAAATTATTAACAACTAAACGAAATTTGATGTCGACGTGATTGACGAAATGGTGGGCACATATCGCTGCAAGAGGAAAGTGATCAGGTGGGCAGTCGCAGTTTTCTGCAAAATGCTCTATTGGTCATTGAATGCGTACATTGGGTATACGGGGCTGACTCCTCTGTGGAATATTCACAAGACAAACTTTCGCTGACGACGTGTATTAGTGGAGTTGGGCACTGCACTTGTTTTACCAACTATTGTCCAATGGGAGATGACCCCCAGAGGGGAAGGAGCCTTGGCAGTGGTGAATGAAATGAGGGGAATTCCACCGGAGCCATCGACATTCAATAGGGGAAAATTGACGCACCACATCCCCTCCAGGAAGCGGGCGCGGTACCACTTGTGTCTACAGAAATCTAACGCGAATTTGCACTCTGTGAAATGCAATAAATTTAAAATTCTTTCCACAACACAGATTTACCCTTTGTGAAAAATTCTTTTTTTTTCACAATTTTCGTCTTGTGTCAAATTGACACAAGTGTCGGTTTTATTTATTTTTTTTCTTAAGGACGGATGCGTGTTAACAGGAAGATTACACTTCTATCCGGAAAGTGGGAAAGGCTGTGACTTTTTAATATAATATCTTATTTATAGTTTCATTTGCTTGAAATTCGGCTCATAAGTGGCCCTTTACTTAGATTAGCAGCAGGTCTGCTATTCTCGCCGTTAAGTGGACCACAGACCGACTTAATAAAAAAATCTTATTTATGGTTCCATTATCATGAATTTCGGTGAATAAGTGTTTTTTTGATTCGACTAACAGGAAGACAACACTACTCTTCGGGAAGTGGGCCAGAAATCCGGTACATAGGTGGCTTTGTGTTTATATTGACAGGAAGACTACACTTCTCTCAGAGAAGTCAACTAGGGACTGACCTATATTACATGAAAAAATTTTTTTTCACGGATGGATTTATCTGAAATTCGGTGCACCGGTGGCATAGACTACATTTTTTCTGGGAAGTGGGGAAGTGACTGACCTATTCAAAAGCTTTGTACTTATTGCACGTTTTACTTGAAATTCGGTACATGGTTGGCATTTTGTTTATCTTAACAGGAACACAACACTTCTCTCCGGGATATGGTTCCACAGACTGACCTATTAAAAAGATCTTATTTACAGTTCCATTTTCTTGAATTTCGTTGAATGAGTGGCTTTTTGATTAGGTTAACAGGAAGACTACACTTCTTTCGGGAGGTTGACCAGGCATTGACCTATTCGAATTAAGTTTACTCATGGCTGTATTTACTTGAAATTCGGTACATATGTAGCTTTTTGCTGAGACAAACAGGAAGACTACCCTTCTTTTTGTCTGCTTAGATTTACTTTGATTAAAAGGAAGATAACACTTCTCTGCGGGAAGTAAGCCAGATACTCACCTATTCAAAAACACTGTTTTTATTGTTCGATTTACTTTTAATTCCGTACATATGTGGCGTTTTGTAAGATTAACTTAGACTTACAGGAAGACTATTCTTATTTCCGGAAAGTGGGCCAGAGAGTAAATTATTCAAAAAGCTTATTTACGGCTGGAATTAATGGGAGTTCGGCACAAAGGTGGTCTTTGCTTAGATTAACACGAAGACAACACTTCAATGCGGGAAGTGCGCAAGAGACTGAGCTTTTCGAAAAAAGTTTATTTATGGCTCGAATGACTTGAGGTTTTCTACTTAGGTGACGTTTTGTTTGGGATAACAGGAAGACTCTTCTTCTATCCGAAAACTGGACCAGTGATTTTTTTCTTAGATTACCAGGATGACTACACTTCTTTTCGGGAAGTGGACTGTTCGAGAAAAGTTTATTTATTGCTGCATTTACTTGAAATTCGGTACACAGGTGGCTATCTGCTAAGATTAAAAGGAATATTACACTTCAAAAAATTTATTTATGGCTGGACTAATTTGGAGTTTGGTATATACTATGTGTCCTTTGCTCAGAATAACAGGAAGACTACATTTTCCTAAGGGAAGTGGGTTGAACACTAGCCTATTCGAAAAAAGTTTATTTAATGCTGGATTTATCTGAAATACGGTACAAAGCTGGCATTTTGCTGAGATTAACATGAAGACCCTTCCTCTCTCCGCAAAGTGGACCAAAGACTGACCTATTTGAAAAAGGTTTATTTATCTCTGGCTTTACTGTAAATTCGGTTCATTTGTTGCTTTTAGTTAAGATTAACAGAGAGGCTACACTTCTCTCCGTTAAGTGAACCATGGACTGAACTATTCTAAAAAAAATTTTTAAGTCTGAAATTATCTAAAGCTCCGAATATAGGTGGCAGTTAGCTTAGACAGGGAGAGGACTTTGCTTTTCAATTGCCTACTCAGTCCAAAGAAGCACCTATTGGCAAGAGTGATTCTGCGAAGGTTTTCAAAGCTGACGTTATTATTGCTGCTAATGCTGGTTCCTAGATAGACTAAATTATGTACGACTTCAAAGTTAAGACTTTCAACAGTGACGTGGAAGCCAGGTCGCGAATGCGATGACTGTTTGTTTGATGATAGGAGATATTTCGTCTTGTCCTCGTTCACTACCAGCGAATAGGTCTGGTCTTTGCTTCTTTATCAAGCCCGGAGAAAGCAGAACTCACGGCATATGCCAGTAGTTGTAGTCAAAAACTTTCCTCACTTTCTTGAACTTCTACATATGACCCCATCCCCCTGAATTTTACTTGAAATTCGGTACATAGATGGTATTTTTCTTTGATTAACCGGAAGACTACAATTCTTTTCAGGATGATGACCAGGGACTGAACCACTCGAAAAAAGTTTATTTCAGTTTGGATTAACAGAAAGACAGCATTTCTCTGCGGGAAGTGGGCCAGGGACTGATCCACTCAAATTGAGTTCATTTATGGATCGATTTTCTTGAAATTCGGTACAAAGAAGGCATTTTGCTTAGATTGAAAGGAAGACTACACTACTCTTCGGGAAGTGGGAAGTGTACTGATCCATTTGAAAAAAAGTTTAGTTTTGCTTCGAATTACTTGAAGTTCGGTACTTAGGTGGCCTTATGTCTAAATTAACAGCAATACTTCGCTTCTCTCCCGAAAGTGGGCAAATGACTGACCTATTCGAAGAAATTTATTTTTTGCTGGGTTTACATGAAATTTGCCAAATAGGTTGTCTTTTGCTTAGATTAACAGGAAGACAAGACTTCTATGCGGGAAGAAAGAGACTGACCTTTTCGGCAAAGTGTATTTATTTCTGGACCTACTTGAAACTCGGTACATGGGAAGTGTTTTGTTTAATTAAGCAGGAAGACTCTTCTTCTGTCCGGAAAGTGCACCACAGACTGACTCATTAGAAAAAAATGTATATATGGCTGGACTTACTTGAAATTCGGCAATTAGGCGGCCTTTTGCTTAGATTAACATGAATACTAATTTTCTGTCCGGAAAGTAGACCAGGGACTGATCTATTTGAAAACAGCTTTTTGTTTAGCTTAACAGCTTCTGCCACGCGATTAATACAGAAGCTTAATGACGACTGACTTATGGGCTCTCCGACGGAACGTTGGTAGCATCGAAGAAAGGAGAAATCTGCGTCAACGCGACAAATCAGCAGCCGTTCGCGTAATCCTCGACAAATGGGTGCATCGCTTGAAAACGTTGAATACACCTGGACCAAGGTTAACGGTAGATGAGGAATTATTGCCTTATCGTCTTCGGTGCCCATTTGCTCAATTTATACCATCGAAACCACACAAATATGGCAACAAACATTGGGTATGCTGAGTTGCAGATACTTTCTATGTTTACGATGTTGATGTATATGTGTGCAACAGATATTGTGCCGCAGAAGTAAATCAAGGTGAGAGAGTGGAGAAAATGGAAGAAATGTCACATGCGACGATTTCTTTACATCATATGGCTTGGCAAAAAAACTAAAAGAGCGGTAGATGATGTTGGTAGGCACAATTAGAAAAAACTGGAAAGAACTGCCTCCATTGATCATCGATATGCAGAAAAAGCCGCTTTATCACTCAGAATTTGTGTTTGAGCCAACATTGGGAGCCACACTAGTGTCAAAGGTAACGAAGTGTAAGCGATTTGTAACTCTACAAAAAGAAACATATTGACCAACACGAAAATAAAAAATTATTAACAACAAAACGAAATGTGATGTCGACGTGATTGACGAAATGGTGGGCACATATCGCTGCAAGAGCAAAGTGATCAGGTGGCCAGTCGCAGTTTTCTACAAAATGCTCTATTGGTCATTGAATGCGTACATTGGGTATACGGAGCTGAATCCTCTGTGGAATATTCACAAGACAAACTTCCGCTGACGACGTGTATTAGTGGAGTTGGGCACTGCACTTGTTTCACCAACTATTGTCCAATGGGAGATGAACCCCAGAGGGGAAGGAGCAATGGCAGTGGTGAACGAAATGAGGGGAACTCCACCGGAGCCATCGACATTCAATAGGGGAAAATTGACGCACCACATCCCCTCCAGGAAGCGGGCGCGGTACCACTTGTGTCTCAAGAAATCTAACGCGAATTTGCACTCTGTGAAATGCAATAAATTTAAAATTCTGTCCACAACACAGATTCACCCTTTGTGAAAATTTTTTTTTTTCACAATTTTCGTCTTGTGTCAAATTGACACAAGAGTCGGTTTTGTTTTTTTCTTCTTAAGGACGGATGCGTATTAACAGGAAGATTACACTTCTATTCGGAAAGAGGGAAAGGCTGTGACTTTTTAATATAATATCTTATTTATAGTTTCATTTACTTGAAATTCGGCTCATATGTGGTCTTTTACTTAGATTAGCAGCAGGTCTGCTATTCTCACCGTTAAGTGGACCACAGACCGACTTATTAAAAAAATCTTATTTATGGTTCCATTTTCTTGAATTTCGGTGAATAAGTGTTTTTTTGATTCGACTAACAAGAAGACAACACTACTCTTCGGGAAGTGGGCAAAATTCGGTACATTCGGCTTTGTATCTATTTTTACACGAAGACTACTCTTCCCTCAGAGAAGTCAACTAGGGACTGACCTATTCGAAAGCACTGTATTTATTACACGTTTTACTTTAATTTCAAAATTTTGCTTATCATAATAGGAAAACTACGTTTCTGTCTACATTAAGAGGTAGACTACATTTTTCTCCGTAAAGCGGACCAAGGACTTCTCCTTTCGAAAAAAGGTTTTTTTTACGGATGGATTTATCTGAAATTCGGTGCATCGGTGACATAGACTACATTTATTTCTGGGAAGAAATTTTTTTTTGGCTGAGTTTACACAAGTTTCGACAAATTCTATTTATTTCTGGACCTACTTGAAACTCGGTACATGGGAAGTGTTTTATTTAATTAAGCAGGAAGACTCTTCTTCTGTCCGGAAAATGCACCACAGACTGACTCATTAGAAAAAAGTGTATATATGGCTGGACTTACTTGAAACTCGGCAATTAGGTGGCCTTTTGCTTAGATTAACATGAAAACTAATTTTCTGTCCGGAAAGTGAACCATGGACTGAGCTATTTGAAAACAGCTATTTTAAAGCTGGATTTTGTCAAATTGACACAAGAGTCAGTTACCTGTTTTTCCGCAGATAATGTTGTTATTTTCTGCGGGAGCGAATATCGATAAAATATGTACACCGAATATTAAAATCGTTAGAATTATTACTAAGTCTGTTTTGCGAAATTCGAAAATCATTATACCTTGTTAGAGAATAGCGAATTTCGTTAAAAATATCGTTATGTCTTATTTGCGATCCGAAAATCGTTATACAGTGCTTAGAGAACAGCAAAATCGTTAAAACTATCGTAGGGTTGTATTTTATAGGAATAAAAAAGTTAGAAGTTCCGTCCGCTTCTTGTGGTTTCCTGTTCTTCTGTCAATCTTACGTTCGGCCATCCTGACGATTGAGTTACCCCGATTTAAGGGTTGGACGGCTTAATGAAATCTGCCACGGCTTGTGTTACTCTTTGTCCTTCAACATCTTCAAGTTTCTCCACTGTATAGCGACCATGGTTTTTCTTAGAGAAGACTTTGTAAAGGCCGAAGAGTTTTAGCTTAAGCTTTAATCTGCTTCCGAATTGGGTCCAATATTGGCTCTCCAATATTGTACTCTCTTTCTGATTCTTATTAATAATTTTGGTAATCTCTTCCTCTTTCTCTGACTGATGTTACTTCGTGCTTCCTTTCGAGTTTTGCTTTTCTCTTCCCACAACTCTTCTATCATTGACGTTTCCAGAAAGTCGGGGATATCGTGGCTTGCGTTGACGTGCATATTAACACTCGTTAGCAATTTAAAGAGCGTATACTTTGTGCTTCGAGTCGGTGTACTATTTATAATTTGTTGAGCTCTACTCACATGTCTGTACTTCTGTCCTGAATTTCCTAATCAACCACCTTATGGATTCTCCTCACTTGCCCGTTGCCTCTCGGTACGCTACTCGTGATGTCGAAGTGTTGTATATTTTCGCTTCTGCAAAAGTCCTCGAATGCGTTCGAAGTAAGCCCAGTCCCTCTGTCCGTTATTATTCGACATGAATTTCCAAACGTTGCTGCTTGCTTCCTCAATAGATCTAGAACTTCTCCACAAACAGTGCTTTTAGTAGGATATAGCCTGACAAATTTTGAAAATGCTTCGACGATTACAATAATGTGATCATACCGTTTTTCCCTTTTTTTCATGGGTCCTACGTGATCCATATGATACGTTCCGAGAGGTATGTCTTCTTAATTGTTCGGATACAGCAATCCCTTTTTTTCCTTGATTTGGTATCTGCTACCTACCTCTGACAAGTTAAGTAGTGAATATAGAAATCGCTTTCTACTGTATTTTCTTCACTGTGTAGTGACCCTTCCTACGAGCCATTGCGATTATCTCCTGCTCCATGAATATTGGTATAACCCTAAGTTCTTTGGAGAGGTCTGTATAGTTGTGTACTCTATACATGTTTATATGTTTACAAAATAGTCGCCATAACTCTCGTGTTTTATAATCTTATGTATCGCCGCTTACCGTTCATCTTTTGTTTGCTCTTCTGTAATCTTATGGGTTAAAGTATTGGTCATCATCATCGTTTCAGCGCCCCTACTATTGGAGATATTTCCAAATTGAGTACACTGCTTAGCTAAATGTTCCATCATACCGCATTTGAACAGAGTCTTATTACGATGAGTTTCATTCCGGACGTCTCTGTTCTCTCTTGGTGATCGGGGTTGAACTACTTCGGGATTAAGTCCCATACATATTGGTATTCTCCATTACACTTCTCGTGGACACGTAGATTTTCCTTCAGGTCATCTATCGAAAGAGCTTGGTAGAGAACCTCCTTTTACGGCGTGAATCAAGAATCCCCTCAATAAAATATTCGATAATACTTTGTTCATGCATGTCGATCTGGCCCGCAATTTCCATCAGAGAATATAGCTATTCCCAAACTTTCATTTGACAGATTGCGTCTATTCTTCATGATGCAATGTATCTCGTTACAACTAAGTTTGCTACTAATCTCCTTCTGATGGATGGACTTTAACGAGATCCAATCCCTCGTCACTGATTCTTTAACAACTGCCTCCCATATATAAATTTCTGCAAATGGTTCCAACCAACAACAGCCGCGCTATCTTCGAACTCTCGCAATCATTGATTGATGTCGGGTTGCTCGCTTACAGAAAATGATGACAGGGTATCATTGAGTCGAGTCGTTTAAGTCGTTTAGATCTGGATCGTTATCTGCTTCATTTCTCGGGTGGCTGAAATGTTCCAAAGGTACGTCTTGTAGTTCATTCTTCCGTCCCCTAATCGGTGAACCTAATTCGTTCAGTTTGTCGTGTAGTTCGCTTACCGTTAACGTTAAGTTTTTCGCGGCGTCCATAATAGTGTCAATTAATAATATAAAATGGGGCTTACAATTTTAAATTAAATCTTAAATATGGTAATAAGATCTCAATTTGAAAGATCCGCTTGTAACGTAACCGGTGTAAAATTCAGTTAGAGTTAACTCTGAAAGGCTTTAATTCAAATGCAATGGTCAAATTATTTTCAAAAATACAAACTGTGTTTATAAAACTTCTCATAAATTATCTTTAATTTTAAATGTACGTACTACTCATAGACGGGTACACAATTCCCTATCAATATCACTATTATCATATATAGCTCAAAAAATAATCGCAATTTTAAATATTTTGACTACTAAAATATAATACTCGTATTCACTATTAGTCAATCAGAAGTGCCAAACACATTTCACACATGAAGAGTACTTATAATAACGAGAACGTGCAATTCACTTTTGGTTCGAAGCTCGAATCAAGTTTCTACAGAGCTAGAAAATCTCGGGAAAGGTATTCACCACCCTGCTAAAATTTGGCTGTAAACTAACAGACTTGATAGTTTAGGATAAAGGAAAACTGTTACTGACGACAACAGAAATAAAACCAATAAAAATTTTATATAAATTCAATGAAAATCAAATGATTCATTAATTTTTTTCTTCTTCAGATGTAGTTCTGCTATTTTTAGTTAAAAAATTAAAAAAGAAAATATTGATATATCAGAAAGTTTTTAACGAGTGTTCAGCTATTTTAAACTAATATAATTAATTAAATAAAAAATTATAATAAAATATAAGGAAAATGAAATAAGCTAGCTCCATATGCAAAAAACCCAAGAATACAAAACACAATAGCACTTCCACACAGTGCCAAAGTATCACATAAAGAACCTGAATCAAAGATAAATAATACTAGCTTTTCTTCTTCTTATTCAGATCAATATACGAAAGAATTGTTCTCCCGCGCACACTTCGTCCACAATCGACTTCGCTGACTTTCACGCTGCGCGCACGTGTACGTGAACAAAACGTACATGATTTCAAAGGAGTATGTTCATTTCTTTATGTCTTTTTAAGGTATAGTATTGCCTAATTTTATTACATTTTAAATTTATTAGACTTTACCAAACTCTTTTAGATCTGAATTCAAATTATATTTATTGAAACCTTATGGTTTGAGGGCATTTAGGGAACATTAATTTTTGAATTGCAGTACATTTGATCAACTTTTTGAGAGTACGTTTGTGCGCAGCGGCTACATACAATAAATATCTTCAACTTTTGATTTTTGTAAGCTGTGGCTTGTGGAAGAGCTGCATGCGGGGAGATGTATTGCTTTCGCCATACATACACTTTGTTGACGAAGCGAAAAATATTTCTTGCAAGTTCAACAATGCGGCATATACATACTTTGTCATGGTAATGTTGTACATATCTACGGAAATGAAGACATATTATGTACGTTGAAACATATATAGCTATTTCGTATTAAATGTTTTTATTTTAATATTAGTTTAATATTTTATATATTATACATGTGTATGAGTGCAGGCGTGTAAATATGGGCAATTATATGCAATACCTAAAGCATGCATAAAGTCATTCAAAGCCAAATAACTTCAAATATTTCCATTCATTCATAACTACAAGCCATTCAAACTATCAATCACAAAAACAACTTCATATGCCCAGCTTGCTTTACTCATCTGCGCACTTCTCTATTCAGTAAAATATTCGATATAGGAAGAAGAAGTATAAATGCAGCAAAAACAACTACCGTATAAAAACTTTCTTTCCTTCCACTCTTTAACAACAAACAGTTTTCTCAAGAGAAGTCAAATTTTGCTCAAAATATGAAATTGATGTTCAACTCACGCCAAAGTGAAAACACATACATTCAAGCATTTTAATATCAATCACAAAAGTCAGAAATTCTAGTTGAGCTGAAGCCATATCCAAATACATTCAAAGATCCCTGACCCATGCATACACAAAAGTATGCCAACTTCTTTTACCTGGTACTCGGAATCAACCAGCAAATCCTTTGCGACGATTTAAAATTTGGCAATTTCAGAAAATAGAACGCTAATAAGAAACGAAAGAATGATTTGAATCTGCGCAGCTTGGACAAATATCAATTGACGCAAACCATTGCGCTACTGATCACTTTGAAGTTTCGTTAGGATATATGGTATTTATTTAGATCGCTGACAGCAGAATTGACAAAATCTCAAATAATATTGAAAAAAAGTACTTGTATATATGACCACATTTAATTCGACATATGAACTATGAAGGAACAAGTGCATTTGTAATTTCGGTCAAACATAGCGAGAACTCTAGAATTTTTTATTAAAATATATTTATATTTTTGCAACTTTTTTCTTTATATCAAGTTTTTCAAAAGCATCTTAATATTTTTTTAATAAATTTTAAAAATGTCTTTTTTAGATTTCTTAATTAATTTTAAAATTTTTTAAGTTATTTTTTTTTTAATTATACATCATTCATCTAAATACGATAAAGGAAGATGTAACTGCTAAGAACTAAAACCTAAACTAAACCAGGGCAAACAATTCACACGCGCACTCATAGCTAATATGGTGCCAACATCTCTAGCACAATAAACTGACAAAAAATCTGCTGCTTTGAATATTCATACATTAACATCAAATAAGCTATCATACGCAGAAGCATTCAAATCAAATTCAGAGAAAATGTCCTCAAATGGTGGTATAGAAGCAATGATACTTAACCTAACGCTGCGTATGATACAATTTATGTTTACCATGTAAAATATGATTCAGGACTTAATCAATGCCCAAAATCAGATTTTGCTGGCTATTGAAAATAAAAAATGAGTGCACTAATTCTCTGTATATAGAATGCAAATGGCATTAGCCAACACAAGGCGGAACTTAGCAAGTTTTTACAAAAACAGGAAGTGGACGTTTCGCTACTGGCTGAGACGCATTTAACGAACAAATATAACTTTCATATTGCTGGCTATCAGTTCTACAGCACAAACCATCCAAGCAACCGCTCCACTGCCATTTAATGTCCACCACGGTTTTCTATAACAGAGAAGCAATTTAATGATTTTTTCAGTAATCTAGGTAATAGATTTATTGTCGGTGGCGACTACAATGCTAAACATACTTACTGGGGTTCCCGTCATGTTAATCCCAAAAAGTCGTCAATTATATAACACATTTACATGTAACCAAAATCATTTTGATATTGCTTCTCCGAGGAAATTGCTTCTTCTTAAATTATAGATTTTGCAGTTACAAAAAACATTGATAGAAACCTTATAAATGCAGAAGCCATTTCCGACTTATTCTCCGATCATTCACCAGCTATGATCAAGTTATTCGAAAAACCAACTATAGTTGAGAATCTATTTCGCCTGACAACGCACAGAATGAATTGGCTTAAGTATAAGAAATGTCTTAGCACCCACATGCAAGTGGAAACTGAAGTAATAAGTAAATGGATATAGAAGACAATATTAATATATTCAACTGGTTGCTTCCAACAGCGGCCTCCTTAGCAACACCAAAATCCACAGAAAGTTTCCGAAGTACAAAACGAACCACCAACAGCCAAATTGAGCGGTTGGTAATCCAAAAACGCAAACTGCGCCGAAAATGGCAGATTAGTCGATCTCCATCATTTAAAATAAAACTAAAAGCAGCTGAGAAAAATCTGGGGGGAGTTTAAAAATGTGAAGAAGAGATGCATCTAAAGAGATTCATCTGTACTTTGACGCCTAATTCTTCACAAAGGAAATCACTATGGACGACAGAAAAGAACTTTAAGCCACCAATAGAAACTGAGAGACCGCTCAAACAGAGCACCGGTACTTAGGCTCGCTCTGAAGAAGAAAAGGCAAAATGCTTTGCAAATCACTTTAGCGAAGTATTCCAACCCAATGCAGCAATGAATAATTTTCCGATTCCACTTTTGTCTCACTATGCTACTAGGACTATTCCCGACGTGAGTACGACCTCATCTGAGATAAAAGTCATAGCAAAAACATTAAATATTAAGAAGTCAGCTGGGTACGACCCCTTAACACCACAAATGCTAAAAGAGCTACCAAATATTGCTTTCACTTTCTTGTCCCTTTGAATTGGATATTCATGTCATCTTTGAATTTGTATATTTTCCAAATGTGTAGAAAAGTTCGCAGATCAACATGATAGCCAAACCCGGAAAAGACGCCGTTCTTTCCAAACTTTTTGAGAAAGTACTGATATCCAAGTTATATCCTTTTCTCCACTAATACGAAACTACACCAAACCATCAATATGGTTTTCGCGAAAAACATGGTACAAGTACATCGCATCACCAATGAGATAAGGAATTTATTTGAGTTGAGAGAGTATTGACCAGTAATATTTCTTTATGTGGCTCAAGCATTCGGTTAAGTATGGCATGAAGGGCAAGCGAAGTTAAATACCTCGGCATCCACCTAAATAGGCGACTTACGGGGTTCTGCCTGCTCAGCTAGTATCCAGAAAAAACAACGATTCCAATCAAAAACGCTACGACACCTTACAGGTGCATCTTGGTATATGCGCAACGAATAGTTGGTAGACACATAAGAGAGAAACACCTGGCAAAATACCTGCCGAAACAGCAAAATCATACAAATCCTCTAGCACACGTTTTATCCAATATCTTTGTTTTTAGCAAAATCTCTGCTAACTTTTTTTACAGCGGCTGTAGTTTCAAATGTGGTTAAGTTGGATTTATTTAAAGTCCGCTAACATTTCCGGGTGCTTGCTTAAATTAACAGGAGAACTCCGGAAAGTGGACCAGGGACTGATCTATTCGTGAAAAGTTTATTGATGGCTGGATTTACTTGAAATTCATGACAAACGTGACATTTTCCTTAGGCTTTTGGAGACCTCACAACACACATAAACTTATCTAAAAATACATTGAATTTACATATATGAAATCACTGAAATATAATACGTAAATATATATTTATTTATTTATTTTATTTTTATTTATTTAATAATAATAACACAGCATTAGTACAATAAGATTTCCATATCTTTTTTACTATAACAGAGATAGTGTGAAGAATAAGTAAATATTACTTTACAGATACCCTAACAAAAATAATAATAATATAATGACGAAAACTTAAAACAATTATTAAATGGTCAGTCTATGTTTGAAATTTGGCCTTTAAAATGCATATATATGTAGTTCTTGAAATTGCTTCTGTTTAATTTCCTCCTTAAATTAGCAGGAAGAGAGTTCCATAATCGACTAGCATTGACAAAGAACAGCCTTGATGATTGCTGTGATTTATGAAAAGGTATTATTATATTACCTACTCTGTCCGACCGAGTAAACGATAACTTGGAAAAAAGATAACTAGGTGATTGAGTCATAATGAGTTTGCAAAGAAAAATACAATTTCTGGCTTTATGATAGTCCGCAATCGTACATCCTAATATCTTTCCAAGACGAAATGTGTTCATATTTGGAAAGACCAAACACATACCGTGTGACATTATCAAACATAACGTCAATTTTACGAGCAGAAAAACTGTCATGTTTGCTGTATACGACTTCAGAGTACATGATGACCGGAAGAATAATTTGTATAGCAAGTCGGCGTCTGATAGCAGTGGGTGTATAGATAGCTGACTGCCTAAGATTCCTCAGAATGAGATAGACCTTACTAACTATGGAGTTTACATGATCCGTGCATGTAAGATTAGAGTTAATAATGTATCCTAAGTTTTTAATCTTGCTGACTAATTTTAAGGGACAATTGAATATTGGGGGCAAAAAAATCCAGATTTGTCAGTTTTCTAGCACTGATTGGCAGCACACAGCACTTGTTTTTATTTAAAATTAGACCGCTGGCAGCCGCCCAGCTAGAGATATCAGCCAAGTCAGTATTAATGCTTTTACATAACTCTTTAGCTTGATCAAAAGGTGCAGATAAATATAACTGAATGTCATCACCATAACCATGAAGGTTTGAAAATTTGCACACACTGAAGATGTCATTAATAAATATGCTGTAAAGCAGGGGACCAAGGATGGAGCCTTGAGGCACCCCTGAAGTAACTGGCTTGAGTTGCGATGTGTCTTCCCCAATTTTTACAAACTGAAACCTGTCAACAAGGTAGCTTTTCACAAGTTTTAAAGCACTTGACCATATCAAATGCTTTTGAAAAGTCAAGTAGGCAAAGCAAGGTGAATTTATTTTCATCCATGTTGGATCGAATATCATCACTGACCTTTAGTACCGCAGTACTACAGCTGTGATTTTTCCTGAAGCCTGATTGAAACGGAGATATTAAATTATGCTTGCTTACAAATTCGTTTATTTGCTTAGCTAAAAGCATCTCAAAAACTTTAGACAATACAGGGAGGACGCTTATTGGTCGAAAATCAGCCGGACTACAAGGACGGTTCTTTTTAGCGACAGGTAGTACAGTGCCAATTTTCCATTGCTCTGGGAAACAAGACGTGGTAATACAATGATTAATAATGTGCGTTAGTGTCCCAAGAATGTAAGGTAGTATAATTTTAATAAATTTAATTGGTAAACCATCATGCCCTATTGCATTGGATGAGATTTTAAATATACTCATTGCAACATCATATTCACTAACAGCTGAAAATAGAAAATAGTCATCCCTAAACAATAGATCATCCCTTGATGTAAAGTTAATAGTGTCACTGTGTGGTACACAGTTTAGAAGAAAAGCATTATTAACCACATTTGCTTCTAAGGAACATTCGACATTCTCCTTACAATGAACATCAAGTCGTTTAATGTTACGCCATAGAACCTTTGTTGAGAGACCAGAATTTAGTTTCTTGTTAAAATAAGCTCGTTTTTCATTTCTAATAACAAGCGTCGCTCTGTTTCGAGCCGATTTAAATGCATTCCAATTTTCCAACGTGGGTTTCTTTTTCCATATGGAATGAAGTTTATTTCGTAACTTAATTGATTTCAGAGATTTTGAGGTAAACCATGGACAGGACATAGACTTATTAGTGATTGTACGAATGGGGACATGTCTCTCGAAGGCAGACTTTAAAATTCCCATCAAGAAATCCAGTTTTTCATCGGTAGATGGATATATCCAACATCCGAAAGAAGTAAATTTGTGTTGACAAAGCGGTAATCTCTAAATGAGATAGTCTTATTTATGCAACAACGATCGATATTTATGTCCAAACAGCAGAAAATGAGATCATGGTCAGATATAAAAGTTAATTGGTCAAATTTTAATACAGTAGTTAAGTCAAGAATTATGAAGTAGTCAAGAAGACTAGGAGTGCAATTCACTGCAAACCGCGTAGGAAGAGATCGGTTGACCACAGAGAGAGAGCAACTGGATAGATTGTCAAGTA